CATTACCCATTCAAGCCGTCTCCAACCATTATTAGTCTCAAAGTGGGTTCCTCGTCATCGAATTTTCTACTTTAGCTACAAAAGATTGCACTGATTTTGAGTTCTTTCTGATAACAAGCTATTTAACTTTCTTCACTACTTCTTGTGTGAAACTGTTTGTCAGTATTTTCTAGCAATATAATCTTCCCAGCAAGAGTAAACTTTAGGCACCATCTACACCTGTAACTAACCACACTTCAACTGAATTACAACAAGTGAGTTAGGACATTTTACTGATTAGATATTTTGCTATAGATCGTGAGCAACCATGGAGCTTAGAAAAGCTTTATTTGGATGCTACTTAATTTGGTTGTATATTTAAATGTTTTTTGAGGTACTCTTTTATATACAATAGTAGATTAAAATTGATCAAACTATATTTTTCCCTTTAGCTAATTGTGCAGATGCAGAATTATCTGTATTTGATGGGTACTCCAGCTTCGAGTTCAATCCAGATCTAGTGAAAAGATACTGTGGTGATCTGAAATATTATAAAAATGTGGAAGAAAAAACAGCTTTATCTGAAAGAAACAGACTACTTATCCGGTGAGTAAGAAAAAACAATTAACTGTCCAAGAAACATTATTATTATAGTGTTATCCAATGCTGATAAAGTCACTAATTATTTTGTCTTGTCCTAGTGGTTAGCATACCATTTGTGAATACAAGAGTGCTTTGTTGGCGCAAAGTTACAAAAATCATACTTTGATTCTGTCACTACATTATCAAAGTGATGGTTAAATCTCATTATTCCATTATAGTAGCCCAAAAGTTAGTGATAGACCTTCTTGACTAGATTCCTTCCCTCTAATCAAAATTCGGAATGGCTAGGTTAGATAACCCTTGAGTAGCTTTGCACAAACATCCAAAACAACAAACCTGGTTGATATTTGGGTTCTGCGACCAGGAATCTGTAAGGTCGAGGTAAAGGTTAACTGTGAATTCAGAACGTATTCTCTAGATTATTCGTTTAAATATTACATAATCTTTAATTTTGTTCTTCTAGGTTTCTTTATTTTTGATTTATACTACAGAAACCACTTATTTCTTTTGGAGTCTTTCATATACCCAAGAGCAGTTGGAAATGTGCAAATTGGTGGCTGTGATCAGAGGATGTTAACAATGATTATATGATCCCAAGTCTAGACAAGGAATCCTCTCTTACTCTCCACCAGCTGCTCCATAGGTTTTTCACTCTGTCCACTGATGCTTAATTACTACCATATATATTACCTTTGGTCACTGGTAACTTCGACTAGTTAAAAGAGAAGAAGCCACCAATGATAGGGCTTCTCTAAGGTGGCATGTTAAGACACTCTTTCATATGTCTTAATGGATACTATTCAGTTATGATAATCTCAACCACTAGTTTAACAAGCTCCAGTCACACTCTGGAAAGACCAGGTGTAGAATCAGCCCCACAAATAACTACATTACATTCAGAGTTGAAATGAGGACTATGGTTACAATTCCTCAGAGAAAAATTAGTAGAAACTAATCCAGCTTAAATTTATTATCGATCTTGAGAGGATTAAGATCAAGACGATGTTGATACAGGTGTATTTGAAGCAGCAATGTGTTACACGTCTCTTTGAGAACCAAATCAATGATGATACGAGGAGTCATAGTCAGAGCTAGTACACTGACTAACTGTATCAGATTGTTCCAAATCGAAAGCTAGTATAATCTGATGAAGTTTGAAACCTAAAATATTACTGGTGAACAGAAACAAGTCATTCCATCAACCTTAGAAGCTGCAGCAATATCTTAGATAACTATAGCTGGTGTTTTAAGAATGTTGTGGTATGGAACATTGAGTTGCAAGACCAAGCAACACAATATCTTCTGCTGACCATGAATGGTCCAGCATTTGATACAGAGGAGCATCTCGATTACCAGCTAGACCTTCATTGCTGTAAAACATCAATGCATTCTTAACCTTGTAGGAACCCAGTTTTTACATAAGGCCAAATTTATGACTCGTAAACGAGACTCAATAAAAACAATGACTGCTTATGCTGATGAGCTACGTTTTGTAGGTGGTAAAACTTATCTAGATCTTTCTAAAGAAAATTGTAAAACATATCTGACTAATAAGTTGAATTGAATTATAAATATTTAAACCCCAGTAACATCATTTAAGAGTGACAATTTTTTGACGATTCTATTTTGGAAATAACATGAAAAAGTATTCTGTAACACAGTTCAATTGCAGTTCTATGATCAGACTATCAAATGTCAATCAAGCACAATGCAGAACAATCTAGCAGACATTTAGAGGTTTAATTTTATAGTTAATCACAAAGCTACACAATGAGATATCTGTGCACTGCTCACCACTGGTATATAAACCAGAATTTTAGCACCATAAACCTACAAACTTATCACTGGGCCACTGGAAAGAAGAAACTAACATTCTTTCTAACAATTAAATAGTGCTTCAACGTAACTTATGACTTGCTAAAAGAGTAATATCTTCTGATACTTAATATGTACCAGTAATGATTTCTACTGACAGACAGACATCTACAAAATTACCAGCTAATTCAATTTTCGGTATAGTTATATGAGAAACATGTAGCTAATGTTACTTAAGTTATTACTGGAGTTGTTCTTAGAACATTGTACTGACATTCTTTATCAAAATAGCAGAAGGATCCAAGCAAAATATGTCAATATCTTCACAGGAGCAGATGGCCATCCGGGTAGAAAATCTCAGTCGTTTGCTTGGTACACTTCCTTTAGATTATGTAAATGTTTGTTTAGTTAACCTTATTACTGTGTGTCTATAGTATTAGGATCTTCTTTTGAGAACCAAGAAGTGAATTGGATTTCTTTATGATAAATTCTTTAGTACATACGTGTATGTTGGTACGAAGTTTGAACAACCATGCTGTCTTGATGGACTCTTTGTTATATGTTGTATTATTTATCTTATTCATCTTCTAATAAAAATCATTAATTTCATTATGTATGTTGCAGAGGGTTGAGTAAGTTATACTAAAACAATTTTGAATATGCAAATCAGTAAGGCACGTGCCAATCCTGTCAACATAAAGTCACGGTTAAACGCATTTTCATAACTAACTTTTGATATTCGTTAACATTTCAAATATATAGCGTGATGCCATCAAAACTTGATTGCTTTTAGGTATGTAACAGCCTTTGTCTGACGCAAAATATTCATACAGTCAGATCATGTATCAGATGTTTTCAGACCGACATTTTATAATTTTAAAGATGGAGATGTCCCTTCTACTTAATGGTACTGGAAAATATAGGAATACACCAGTCACAGCAAGTCGAAAAGTGACGTTTTGTGAAAGATGACAATTTACCAACATAAAAATCAGTAGAAAAAGCCGTCCATCTGCTCCAGGTAACAGTACACAATATAATCAAGAAGGATGAAAAAGCAACACAAGGCACGTGTACACAAATTGCTCCTCAACATATCCGTTTAACAGCTGGAGAATATACTGGTATTCCTGCTATTTCATACGAACACATAACATATTTGTCAAGTCACCATGTGCAATCGGGATGTTGGAACAGAAGCTGGTAAATCGTCATCATTGTACACTAGATGAAGTATGAAAAACAGAGGGAGAACGGATGTACTTTGAAAGTAGCAGCTTATGACGGAGCCTCTTGCAATAAAAATTATACTGCAGAACTAAAGATGTACAGTGGTCAGATAGAGTATAACCGGACATAGCGATACGGACTATAACGATAGAACTCCAAAATCGTTTTAACACAACGTACTCATCCTCTGTTTTTGAAGAAAATCAACATCATAAAACTTCTTCTAGCAGACAGCCATTGCAATTATGGAAAACGAAAAATACTCTAACAAACTCTGCGATAATGAGATTTTTTTCAGGTATGATTGAACAGGAAAGAGTTTATAGATGTTTTGTTTTAAAAAAGAAAAATGTCAAGGGAAACTACATCGAGTACTGATAAATTAAAATAAAGATGTGATATGAAGATTGATTAAAAAGAAAATGTTAAGTAGGTAGAACTTAAAAGATAAAAAAGTGGAAAACTAACATCAATATATATAAAATCCAAGTGTCGGTCGGTCGATTTCTCCGAATTTCGCGAGTTACAAGAGTCCAAATCCACTATCTCTCCTATAATACTTACTCTTTTAATTGCCTGTTCCCATTTTAGTTGAATTTAATCGCTAACGTAGGCATAAAGAGCTCGTAAATTTCGGCACTTTTCTGCTGTATAAATACCCTGTCAAGGAGGTAGTTCCCAGGAACAGATCAGGCAGGGAATATTGTGTGTGTGACACCCCATCATTATGACGTCAAGCTAGGTAGGATCCGAATAGGAAAGTCGGGAAGACTCTTAAGAAAAATAAGTCAAAAATTAGCATAAATCTATGGTTGGGAATTATTACAAAAAAAAGCCTTTGTGAAAACAGACTGAAGATACCAATTACCTGGCCTCCCCAGTGGCACAGCGGTATGTCTGCTAGAAACCGGGTTTAGATATCCGTGATGGGCAGAGCACAGATATCCCTTTGTGTAGCTTTGTGCTTAATAAGAAACAACAACAACCAATTATCTGTAGGGAAGAGGACGACTTTTCCTCAGAAGAAAAACAGGTGTGTAAGTTTTAATCTTTTATACAAAGGCACTAAAATGTAGCATGTTTGCTCATGTATGTGTAGTGGATTCAGGAGCATTATGTATCGTGTTCCTAGGAAATAAAATTTTATCATTTTATTTATTTCTTGTGTAGTGCGAGTTATATTTTGAATAGATTTGGTTTCAAGTGATTTCCCGTCGTTTTTGACGAGTTTTTACGCCAGCACATAAAAATGAATATTAAGAAAGTTTAGGGGTAAAAGTAAAGAATTCACGTCACACTTGAAACAGTAAAATGTTTTTCATTTTTCTGATATATAATTTACCAAGTGGTCGAACATCACTTATTCCAGGACTTAGATTTATTCCACAAGGTTTAACAATATTAAAAGTTAAAATCCAATAAACTTCTTTGATTTTTCTGTCAGATTTAGTTTTGTAACCAGTTTCAATTCCAATGAGAGTAACATAATTAATAGAATGACCGAGTTGGTTGAAGTGTTGAACAGGGAGTTCTTTTTCGGTGTTAATAGAAGGTTTATGGTTGTTGAAAAGCTCTCTAGTAGTCCTTTGGGTCTGTCCTACATATTGTTGGTTGATCTTTTTTGCACTGTACGAAGTAAATGGTGTTGCGCAAGTAAATCTAGTAATTTTAAAGTTCTTTTGGTTATATTTGTCGGAAAAAGACAAAAAAGATGAGTTTTATCACATGGATGATAATCATTCTATGGTGGGATGTATTGCATGGATGATAATCATTCTATGGTGAGATGTATTACATGGATGATAATCATTCTATGGTGAGATGTAATTCACTTTATTACATGGATGATAATCATTCTATGGTGAGATGTAATTCACTTTATTACATGGATGATAATCATTCTATGGTGAGATGTATTACATGGATGATAATCATTCTATGGTGAGATGTAATTCACT